GTACATAGCATGTATTTAGGCGCCTGGTGTTAGCAGACGCGCCTAAACACCAAGCATGCGAACCAAATATTCCCTTTGATTTTTCGAAAGCCAACTTTATAATGCTTAACAAAGAATTGTCTAAATTTTCATGGCCTGCATATAAAGAAAATGTTTAACAAAGCGTTGCACATTTTAAATTTACTGTACATAAATTATTTGAAAAGCATGTGCCTAAACGCATGTGTATTCATCAGGAACAAGCACAGTTATGGTTTACTAAAGAACTGAGAAATTTTAAAACTAGAAAGTCGCGTTATTTTAGATCTTCAAAAAATTTGAAAATTAAATCTAACAAAGTAATTTTGCATATATTTATTTATCGCTCCGAGTTTTAAAGTGATGCGAAAAATATTCGTCATTCGCATTTTTAAAACACAAAACTTGAAACAATAAATCTGCAAAGCTTTTTACGCCAAACTTCAAATTCAGAAACTGACCAACAAGAAAAGACCGAATCTAGATAAATCGATTATAAACAAACAAGCAAGAAAGAAGCTAAAGAAGTGTTCCACCATCTCATTCTCTTCAAAGCAGGATGGGCAAATGGAGTTGTCATTTACGCCTATCACAGTCAGCTGTTTGTGCCACGAGACGTGACGAGTCAGAGGTCCCATCTTCTCAGTGAGAGGAAAAACTAGATAGACCTAAGATTGAGGGCAACATGAGTTTTGCCCACCTGTATCCTCTCGATGGCTCCCAGTCATTGCTCAGCCAAGTATCCACCCAGTTTCTGATGGTGGCTTCGACGGTCGAAGTGGGGAGTGCTATAAATGGTTGCGGATCGAGGAATACCTGGTATATGCCAACTGTGGCCAAAGGGTCAGATGCCTCATTTCCAGGTACTCCTGAGTTGCCCGGCACCCAGAGTAATGCAAGCTCGTTATTTTTACCAACATAATTTAGTCGAGACTTGCATTGCCGAACTAGTTTAGAAGTACTTAGATAGAGGGCTGGCCAATGCCTTAAGTGCAGCAGCAGGTACAGCACCTGTAGACACGTAAACCCCTTCCCCTCTACATATTTTCCACCACGTAGTCTATGGCGTTGGGGATTGCAAATACCTCAGCCTGGAAAACCTAAGCATATTCCCCAAGAGAAAAAGTGAAGCTTATCCACATTAACTTCTAAAAATACTCCAGATCCTGACCCTGAGTCAGTTTTGGAGCCATCAATGAAGATTCGACAATTTACGAGTACGGGCTCAGTGCTGGAATTAAACTAGCATTCCGCGCTCAGGGAACTCTGTCTCTCTAGAACCTCTTCAATAAAGGTAATGGTGGCTTAAAATCCTGTAGCATTGAAAAGACACAAGTGCTCAAATATCTGCATCCGCATCGCCTCACTCAGTGTTATACCAACATCCGTTTCTTTTTAGTCTGCGTCAAGAGCACTATACACCACTAAAAAAATTAAGTTAAATAAATAGGCCTTTAAGCAACCAACAGATAAATTTTCGTGGACTCCGATGGTGTAGTAGTTTATCTGAAATCCTTAAAGCAGTCCCTTAGTTGTGGTAATAACCAGTAGCTCGTTTCTTTAACTCTTCTCTACCGATTATTTCTCTACTGCACATTTGGTCAAATGATTACTTTTTCTGGGCGAAATTAATAGCAGCTAAAATACTGCATTATTTTAATGTAAAAAGATGGTAAACGTTAAAAAAGTGTAAAGGCAGTGAATAAAATGTGAAAACATGACTTATATAGATTGGCGCTTACACATATGTTAGTGTTTGGCCGAGCTTCTCCTCCGACTTGTGGCGTGCGCCTTGATGTTGTCACACAAAGCGGAGGGACCTACAGTTTTACGCCGACTCCGAACGGCGATTGTATTTTTATGAGAAGCTGTTTTTCATGGCAGAAATACACTCGGAGGTTTGCCATTGCCTGCCGAGGGACGACCGCTGTTAAGAAAAAACCTTTTTCTATATTTTTTGGGATGTCGCTTTGACCAGGGCTTGAACCCAGGTGCTGATGTGTGAAAGCGCGCACTGCTTACCACTACACCACAGCGGCCGACCTACACCACAGCGGCCGACACATGACTTGGCTTTCGTAAAACAGACTTTTCTGGTTTTTTGCATGTTCAAATGATGAGTATATGTGTTTAAGTAGCACTCAAAAACATTATATCGAGCCCTAACCGCCAAAATAACGTAAGCGACATTTTTTTCAAAATTTTCTTTTTGATGCAGAAATGCATCTAGATGCTCTGGGAATATTTCTGCATCAAAAGGAAAATTTTAAAAAAAGTGTCGCTTACGTTATTTTGGCGGTTAGGGCTCGATATGGCATTATCGAAATTCCTAAATTAAAAAAAGAAAAATATTTACTATATGTCTCGCAGATATGCCTTGAGTATTCCCAAATTCCCCACCGATATCATTTATATTCAGAATGCTAATGCTGCTTTGTGACACATTTACCAAAAATCGTTTGTAACTTCCCGAAAATAATACGAATGTTTTTGAAACTAAATTGTGAAAAGAATGTTCAAAGCTCTATACAATTTGAGTAACAAATTTCGAAATCGCTATCAATGGAAGTACATTTTCAATATTTATCACCATTAAAACGGACTATTTATCACCAAAACATTTAGGCTAAGCTATTGTTAGCGAAAGGGCGGACAGGACCGCAATGTTTGAAGATAGCTAAAAATTCAGAAAAGTGTTAGCTTTCGTATTTCAGCATTTTAGCGATAGCGAAAGTTAGAATCCGGCTGCTTGTCGACACAGTTGGCTTTTTGATTTCTACAAGAACTTCATCAACAAGAAACTCTATGTTTTGTCGACCATGCTTAACGTTTATAATTATTTAATTTATTCATAACAACAAGGGTTTCATATTTCAGTTGTTTGAATATTTTGAATATAGAATATGAACTCACGCATTGTCAGGCACACGTGCCAAACCGACAAACAAACTAACTTTAAGCTTCAATTTATTTATAATATTATTTATGCTTATGCAGCAATTATTTCCCATAAATACCCCAATATGTTAGGCTAAGAAATCAATTGTAAAAGAACCTACAAAGCGACATTGAGTTGCTCAGTAAAATAAATTC